CAGACTGGCCTTGAACTCACAGAGATCTACCTGCCTCTCCCTCCCAAGTGCTGAGATTAAAGGCCTGTGCCACTACCACCTGGCTATTCCTTGATTTTAATACTGATCAAAATACTAATTTCTAGGCTCTTAGAATAACCTCACCTTAAGCCTCAATACTGACAGTAATATGCATTTTTAAAATGCCAATAAAACTGGGTGAGATGGTACATTCCTGTAATCTCAGCACTTGGAAGGCTGAGGCAAGAGGATTGCAAGTTTGAGGCCCAGTTTAGCTTACAAAGATTCTGCTTTGGGGTGGGGGGGCACTAATAAAGTTCTACTGAAAATATATGTTGTGCCTTAGACAAATAGCCTCCATGTATACATGTTTGTTCTCTTTTCCTTCTTGAGAAAAGACTTTCTGACTTATGTAGCCTGATATACACAATACTGTTAGTAGAATTAAGAGGCCAGGACCGTGGTGTTCTGACCTATAATCGTACAGCTTTTTATAATTTTTTTTTTAAATGAGACAGGATTCCTTTTTTTAGTTCAGGCTTACTATAAATGTATGATCCTTCTGTCTTTGCCTCCTGAATACGGAGTTTTCACGTCTCTATCACTACGCTTCGCTTTGAAAAAGTGTCTAATGTTTATATATCTTTTCCAAATCCTTTAATTTACTTTAATAAAATACTCCAGGTGAGCTACATGGAAATTTACTGTGAGAGAGTACGAGACTTGCTGAATCCCAAAAACAAGGGTAATTTGCGTGTGCGTGAACACCCGCTTCTTGGACCCTATGTGGAGGATCTTTCCAAGCTGGCGGTCACTTCCTACACTGACATTGCTGACCTCATGGACGCTGGTAACAAAGCCAGGTATGGTAAGAAATAGACTAATAACTGAGTCCTTTGACATATTTTGAGGTTTTTTTTTTTTTCCAGTGTAAGAATTGAAGCCATGTTTGTAGCTATGAATGTTGCTTTAATTGTAGTCCTTTGAGTCTTTGGCTATGCTGGAGAGGTATAAGTTTCAACATCCTAAGTAGCTGTCTTTTCATTAAAATGGTGCATTGTTGAAACAGGTCAGAACTTTCGTTGAGTTAGCTCTTAGGTATTGGTTAAGTCATGGTAAAATGTTAGCTGTAATGTCTAGATGAGGCTGTGGTAGTAAATGGATTCTGGAATAAATGAGCACCTGATGAAGAATATAAATTAAATGCTCTAGTGATTACTAAAGGGATAGCTGGAGTATGAAAAGTGATTCTGATGGGGTGCCTTTTGAGTCGTGGGGTAACTTGATGGGCTTACAAATAAGACAGAATTTAGAGCAATTGTGTAAGTGACAGTCCTTCAGTCTGAGTAAGTTTAAAGCTGTTGTCTGTGATTGTTACGTAGGCTTGTATAGAGCCTGCTATCCATTTAACTCTGGTGGAAGAATTCTCTTGTCAAACGGTCACCTTTGGGTTTATTTAGGACAGTGGCAGCTACCAACATGAATGAAACAAGTAGCCGTTCCCACGCTGTGTTTACCATTGTTTTCACTCAGAAGAAACACGATACTGAGACGAACCTTTCCACTGAGAAGGTAGGACAGCTTGTGATCTCTTGTCATGAAGACACTTTGTGGAGAAAATTTTGAGAAATCCCTTTTATACTACTACCCTTGCATTTTTTGGACAGGATAAATGTTATTATTTTATTAAGTGAAGGTGGTTTTTAATTTCTACTCAACCATTTACCCCACACGAGTGTTCAGTGTGGGTCTTTAATGGAACTGAAAGATATTAAACACAGTTAAAAAATAATTTAAAACTTTGGGTCTAATTATCTTTTTTTTTTTAATTTTTATTTTGGTTTTTTGAGACAGTTTCTCTGTTTAGTTTTGATTGTCCTGTAACTCACTCTGTAGAGCAGACTGGCCTTGAACTCACAGATATCCACCTGCCTGTGCCTCCTGAGTGCTGGGATTAAAGGCCTGAGCTACCACTGCCTGGCAGATTTGACCATTTTTGATGAATGCTTACATATGTGAAATAGTCAGTATACTGAAAAGTTCTGTCACTCTACAAAGCTGCCTCATGACTGCAGTATTTCTCTGTCCCTCTTCAACATCATCCAGGCTTTTTGTTTGTTTTTTGTTTTTTGAGGCAGGGTTTCTCTGTATAACAAGGCACGTGCCACCACCGCCTGGCTCATCCAGGCAATTCTTAATATGCCTTTTGTCACTATAAATTAGTTTATATTTGCTATAGTTTTATGTACATGAGAAACAGTATATACTATAGTTTGCTAAATTTCTTATACTATAACTTTGCCAAATTTCTTATAATGATTTTGAGATTCCTTTGTTATTATGTTGATCGTTGGTCTCTTTCATTGCTAACAAATATTTCATTATTTAGGAACATGTGTGTATCTGTGTATGGAGACTTGTTTTGGTTCTTGTTTTTCTGAGCACTTGTTTCATTCTTTACTCCAGTTTGACCTAGAACTCACTCAGCTCCATGGTCCTCTTGCTTCAGCCTTCCAAGTGTTGGGATTACAGGTTCTACACACCATGAACAGCTGACAGTTTGATTTTTTATCTTGTTTTTATTTATATTGGCTAATATTTAAGAATAGGATTGAGTCTTGTGTGAGATGTGGGTTTAGCTTCTGGTTTATTTTTTTGTTTTGTTTTGTCTTATCTTTTGAGGAAGGGTCTCTCTATTATATAGACCTGGCTATCCTAGAACTCGCCATGTAGACCAGGCTGGCCTTGAACTCACAGGGATCTGCTTAAGTCTGCCTCCTAAGTGGTGGAATTAAAGGCATACGTAGTTTCTTAAGAAACAACTAAACAGTTTTCAAAATAATCATTGCCACTAGAAGTATATGAGCGCTCTAGTTGTTCAGTGCTTCATGTTCGTGCCAGTGTAATCGGTTTTGTGTGTGTGTGTGTGTGTGTGTGCGCACGCGCACACACACACATGTACGTACATATAGATGTCAATGTATGTTAAGACACAGCCTCAGTGTGTACCTCTGTCTGGCCTAGAACTTGCTGTGGAGACCAGACTGCCTGGAATTCACAGAAGTCCACCTGTCTCAGCTTCCTGGGTACAGGGACTACTTCTGTTTTTGCTGCTAAGTTGTGAATTCATTATCACTGTGTAGAGCAGACTGTCTTTCAGCTCATGGATGAGCCTCCTGCCTTTGCCTCTGCCTCTTGGGTATTGGGATCCAAGCATGCACTACCACACCTAGCTGTCTTGTTACGTTTTAATTTCCATGGTATTGTTCTTTACTTAGGTCAGTAAAATCAGCTTGGTGGATCTAGCAGGAAGTGAACGAGCTGATTCAACTGGTGCCAAAGGAACTCGATTAAAGGTATTTATTTTAGCCAAGTGGTCTAGTCAATTAATGTTTTGTAACATGGGTCCATAAACTGTGGCTATGGGCCAAATCTAGTTACTGCCTGGTTTTACAAACAAAAGTCTTTTGAGAGATAGCTGTAACTTTTAATTTATGTATTGTTTATGGTGGTATTTACTGTTTTGATACAGGTTCTCATGTAGTCTAGGCTGGCCTTGAACTAACTATGTAACTAGGATGAGCTTGAACTCTGATCCTCCTTCCTCCATTGAGTGTTAAGGGCATGTGCCCCCATGTCTCTTTACGTGGTGCTGGAGACTGGACCTGGTGCTTTGTGTGTGTAGTTAAGCACACTACCTGTTGAGCTCTATCCCTAGTCCTCTGTGACTGTGTTATGTGCACTGGCAGACTTGCACCAGACAGAGACTATGTGACCTACAAAACCCAATTTTTAAATTTAATTTTTAATGAAAAAATTCCTAATTATTAATCTATAATTTCAATGAAATGATGTTAGGTAGCAAAATAGGTAGGGAAGAGTTTATGGTTAAGAGTGAAATTTGTATTAGATTTTTGAGAAATGGGCAAAATTTGGCAAGAGATATACAAGATACAGATGTATGATCAAGTGTGGACTTTGACAGAAATATTGTTTAACCAGAACAGGGTGTGTGGTCTCAGCATGTCACCAAGGGTGCAGAGCAAAGACCAAAGGCTTCAGGTGTCTTTAGAACTTGTGTCTTAAAGAAGCAGATGGCAGGGCTAAGGAGATGACTCAGTGGGTAAAGTACTTGCTGCTACCCAAGGACTTGAGTTCAGATCCCCAGCACCTCCAGTGGGGGGTGAGAGGGAGAGGAGAAGTAGATATGCTCAGCTTGTAGCATTATAAGTAGTGTGCAGTAGTAGAAATTCTTCGTTGTAATTCTTCCATGTTTGGTGTTTATTTTAGGAAGGTGCAAATATTAATAAGTCTCTTACAACATTGGGCAAAGTCATTTCGGCCTTGGCAGAGGTGGTAAGTTTTCTGTTTCACTCTAAGAGGAAATGTCTGCTCAGCAAGTAAACTTGCTGATACTTATGCTTCTTTATGAAGGTTATACTGTTTTTTGGCCTTTCTATGTGGTGTTTTAAATTTTGGAGGTAGGGCTAGAATATGATACAGCTTTGTACTGAAAGTAGAATGGAAACAACTGTACCTGTGTAAAGCTAGAGCAGAGACATAAAATTGGATTCATTTTTTTGAGCCCTATTTCACACCTCATAATAACCAAATATATTTTTGGAGTATTTTGAATGATGTGGCTTTGTAGAATGATGTTAATTTAGAAGCCAATAATAAATATTTTTAAAATTCAGTCATGTATCATTTAATGAGATGAATACATTCTTAGAAATGCACCATTAAATGATTTTGCCATTGTAATAAGTAGAAAGAATATACTAGAACAATGAGGAAAATAGTCTAGTGATATATAGGGTAGTCTCAATCACCAAATGCCATATGTTCAACATAATTATGTGTACTTGTATGTTCTATATGACTGGCAATATAGTAGGTTTGTTTCCACCAACATTTCCACAAACAATGCATTGTGATACCACCTAATGACAGCAACAACATTGTGATTTTTCATTATAATCTCAACAGACCATCGTTGTCTCTGCAGTGCACATGCAGATTAAAAAGTTCTTGTTTTTGCAGCACTGGCACAATAAAGCTAAAACAAATTTTGCATAGTCTTCATTATTTAGGTTTAAAACCCAAGGAATTTTTTGTATGCTCTAATTTAGATTAATAGGTCATTTAAATCACTTAGAATTAAATCTCTTCTTGTCTCTACAAAGTACTCTGATTTCCATTTATTCTAGAGGCTTATCCTGTGTTCTTTTTCTTTCTTTTAAATGCTTTCATTTGTAGGATAACTGCACCAGCAAGGTACGGCGGGGATTGGTCACACTGAACTAGCTAAATGATCATCTTTAGGGTTTTCACATTTTTAGAGATAAATAGGGCAGGGCATATGTTAGAATAGAACCTTCAAAAAGGTTTTTATTGCTTTTTTTCTGGCTTTGAAATTTAGAATGATTGTTTAGGGTGGCTGTGAATCATGAGACTTCATACTAGAAATAATTAAGGAACATAAAGTACTTTGGAGGAGGAATGGACTAAAGGAACAAGAGAAAGATTTGAGGAAGCTTTTCCGTAGTGTCATGATGTTTGCTGCAGTGGTCTCTAAGAGCATCTCTTACGAGTTCTGTAAACCACTGAAAGAGAGTAATTTACATTTCCTCTAGTCCTTCTAAAGCATAGTTAGTTGATTGAGATTATTGCAAACTAATAAGATAAAACAAGATTATATAATATTAGTCTATCTAGAGCCTGTTTTATCTCACTATTTCCACCATAGAAGCTTATGAGTAATTGAAAACATTTTCCCTGTTATTTGGTTGTACATAGATGAAGTAAGGGCTGTAGAATCAATTTAAACTTTCAACAGAAGCTAGAAAAGATTCTTTGTATCTTCCTTTACTCAATGGTGTATATTTTTTCTTCCTTATAGTTCTATACAAATACTCTTTAATTTTTTGTTATGCTTCTGAATATTCTTCTTATATTAAGAGCACCTAATAGTTAAGAATTATATGAGATAAGGTCAGGGTAGAGGCAGTATTTGCATTAAAATATTTAGTATTCAGATATTTTATTTGTTTTTTTTCCACTTTTTGGGTCTTCTTTTAAAGGATTATCTTTATTATAGTTTTGGGAGGGCATATGCTGTGGTACATGTGCAGATGTCTGAGGACAACTCTTGTGAGTTGGCTTTCTCCTTTTGGGAACCAAACTTTGTGTTGCCTGGTATTTCAAGTCCTGAGCCATCAAACTGGTTATGTTGTTTCTCACCTCCTTGTCAAAGAAGTGTTGATAAGTGAAATACTAGGTTTGTTTTAGAATATTAGCAGGTCTAAAGATGTGGATAAGATATTATAGTATTATATTGTTAAATTTACTAAATTTGTTTCTTATAAACTACATATCTGCTGAAGTTCCTTGTGCCTTCAGTTTACTCAAATGTATTCAAATGGTTTGGGTAATGGTAAAATAATAATGGTTAAAGCTACATGGTAATTCTACCATGTACATTGTAATACTTCTCTCTTGACTTGTGTTATAAAGATTTAAAAATGAAATGTTAAAAAGAAGTTGTTTTGCATGTGCTTTTTGCATTTGCTTTTTGAGGCTGTGAGTAAAACATGTCAATAATGATAGAATTTCATTACAGTTTGATTATTTCAGTTAGAATTGTTTGCTTTTCATGTGAATTCTCCCCCATAATATTGCTAAAGTTATTCCCTTCTCTTTAATAGAGTAAAAAGAAGAAGAAAACTGATTTTATTCCTTACAGGGATTCTGTTCTTACTTGGCTCCTTCGAGAAAATCTAGGTATGTTGACTACTAATCCACATTACTTTGTAGTTGTTGTTTAAAGCTGTTTAATGATGAACTTTTATGGCTCATTATTCCATGTCTGCTTGAAGAATCATCTCTAGATGATGAGTTCCTAGTAACTCAACCTGAGTTGTCTTTTTCTGGTTTTGCTTTTGCTGTTCCCTGGTTGGATTCACTTACTTCAAGACACAAACTAAGGAGCTGTTACTGTCTTCTGTACTCCATACAGCTACTTAAAATGTTGTTCCTTCTTCAGAGCCCACTGCCCCTGCCAAGGCTTATTTATTTTATGTGCCCAGGTGTTTGCCTACATGTATGTGTGTGCATCGTGTGTGTGCCTGGTGCCTGCAGGGCTGTAAGGCAGCATTGCATCCCCAGGAACCAAATAGTGTTTTCTACTTCAGCAGTTTGCACTCTAAACCACTGAGCCATCTCTCTAGCCCCTCCCTTAGAGTACTTAGAGGCTCACATTCCTTTGCATTTTACATAGCCAAGTACACACTACATAGTCTTAATTCTCCGTACTACTGATGTTTTTTGACCTTTCAGCCTTTCTTCTCATTCCTTGCTCCTCCTCATTCAGAAAAAGCAACCAATCAACTTTCCCATCACTGAGGGTAGTTTTGGTGGAGTGGTTGATATCTTGATTAGAGTGGTTGTTTACAGCCCAGGCTGTCATTGAACTCCTGGTACTGGCTCCTGTGAAGGAATTACAGGCATGTGCTACCTTACCTGGCTAGAGTAGTTTTAAGGGAGAATAGGACAGGAACTGAACAAGAGAGTCAGAAAGCAGAATGTAAGTAGAACAGTGCATGGCATGGAAACAGTTAAGAACTTTTTTTTGGGTTCCAGACTTGGTGGCAAATAGCTATAATCCCAGCACTTAGGAAATGAAAGCAGAAAGATTGCCAGCTCAAACCAGCAAGGCTACATGAGACCTTGTCAAAACAAACAAACAGATGAAAAAAAGAAAAATTTGCTGCCTTTTGATTAAATTTTAGGGTCTGCTCTCAGCTTTAACACAGTAAATAAAATTTTCCTTTTAAAAATGAGTGTAATTTGAGATACTTGTAATTCATTTTCCTAGGTGGTAACTCTCGAACTGCAATGGTTGCTGCTCTGAGCCCAGCAGACATCAACTATGATGAAACTTTGAGCACTCTGAGGTATTCTTCTTTGTTCTCAGTAGCTGAGTAGTTCTGTATGCCATAGATTTTCTTACACATTGAGGGCTGTCATGTGATCCTTTTTTCTCATAATATCGGGAAAATTATTTTTGTTACAGTGGAGTTTACTTCAGTTGCTTCCAGATTCATTGGGATAAGTAAGAACTTTTTTACAGGAAAGATGTTCAAATTATTTGAGTGAGATACTGGATAACTTTTAGATAATAAAATTTTCTTATTCATTTTTGTTAATAGAAGTGTTCCTTTTTATAGTCTATAGATATGTTCAAGTTGTAAAAAGTAATGCAATTATCAGTACGTGTAGCACTGAAGAAGTACCAACATAATATTCATTACATTTTTATATATAGAATAGTTTAATCTGAAACTGTCTTAACTTAAAGTATAAAAAGATACTTTTAATACAGCAAAAGAGCACTATATAGGCTGACGGACTGGGTTTGAGTCTTCTCTCTGGTGCTCATTTCTGTTGTGATCTTAGCCAAAGCATTGAAGTTCTGCTAAACCTCTATCACTTCTGTGAAGTGCTGCTATAAAGTCTCATACAAACAACTTACTTATCAGGGCTCTTCAAATGTTTGCTTTAGAGGCAAATAGTATGTTATTTCTGAGAAGTAGAGCCTCTGAGAAATGGTAAGGATGCATTTTCTTTCTATATCTAGGTATGCAGACCGTGCAAAACAAATTAAATGCAATGCTGTTATCAATGAGGACCCTAATGCCAAGCTGGTTCGGGAGTTGAAGGAGGAAGTGACCCGATTGAAGGACCTTCTTCGTGCTCAGGGGCTGGGAGATATTATCGATAGTAAGTGAAGAAGGATCATACAGCATCTTCTTTCTTCTCCGATTCTTGTACTTAAAACAAGCTTAGGGCTGGGTGGAGTGGGTACTTGGGAGGCAGAGGGAGGCTGATTTCTGAGTTCAAGGCCAGCCTGATCTACCTGGTGAGCTGCAGGCCAGCCAGAGCTACATAGTGAGACCCTACCTCAAATAAGTAAGTAAATAACATAAGCTTAGATTTTTTTTTTTTTTTTCGAGACAGGGTTTCCCTTTGTAGCTTTGCGCCTTTCCTTGAACTCACTTGGTAGCCCAGGCTGGCCTCGAACTCACAGAGATCTGCCTGGCTCTGCCTCCCAAGTGCTGGGATTAAAGGCTTGCGCCACCACCACCCGGTGTGTAAGCTTGGATTTTAGAGACTTGATGAATCTAAATGGTAGTAAATGGTTTTATGAGGGTTTTTTTTCCTTAAAAATGCCAGTGAAATGAAATAATCTCAAATTTTCTTTATGTAGAATGTGTCCCCAAATCCCAGATTTTTTTAATGTCAAATTTATTCTGAAAAATTAACTACTTCATAAAAGTATTACTTGGAAGCTATTGTTTCCCTGGATTAGTGCAGTAGTAATAATGCATGTGTAAGAATTCACCAATCCAGTCTACTTTTAAATAAGATTTATCTTTGAATGACTCTTGTTCTCTATGGAAAAGTGAAGAGGAAAAGTCTAATTCTTGTCAAGTTCAAGAACTAGACTTCCAGCAAGTACTGTTGCATGGTGTTCTTCTATAATTCATACTTTTAAAACTCAGTCATCCTGCTATGTAGTATGTAATTCAACCTTTTCTAAGTTGTGGTTGGCAGTGGAGCTCATTAGTGATCGTTATTGCTTAGCAGGTATAAGGCTCTGGTTTTAACCTCAGGACTTAAAAAAAAAGTTCTTGCCATAAAATACATTCTTCAGATAGAATATGGGTTTATTTAGTAAAGCATATATTTATTTTTAATGTAAAAATATTACATACATTGAAATACTAACTGATTTCAAATCCTCCTCCAACTTACCTCTTATGTATTAGAATCTGGATTTTAATTAATATAATTTGTGAAAAAGATAATATATATATTACTGAATTTTTATTTTTTTAAGCTTCCCAAATGCCAAATCCCAATCTATCTTGCTACTGAATCTGAACTTTGACCCTTCTTGTATTTTCCCTCTTGCTTATCTTTAGTTGATCCATTGATGGATGATTACTCTGGAAGTGGAGGCAAATGTGTGTATATCATGTATTGGTTATTTCCCGTGCGCTGACTTGCTAATCGCCCTTTGCTGGGTCAGCCTCACAATGAGCTTTGCATGCCAGCAGTCCTAACAGGGAAATCCCAGACAGAGTGTTAGGTAACATCACAGTCTCTTGTTGTGACCCTTCTCCATTAGCAAAGTAACTTCATGACTTTTAGTTAATGCCTGGACTGAAATTGAGAGGTATAAGAATTTGAGTCTCCCACTCAGTCTTCAGTGTTTCTAGCCATATAATTAAATCAAATTCAGAATCACAGTTTATAAGGTTAGTGGTGATAACAGCACACATTTATCAAATGTCTATAATATACCTGGCCCTCTTCTAGGCAGCATAAGTATATTATCTCTGTTAATTCTGTTATTGATAAAATTACTTTATCCCCATTTTACTAGAGCCAGGAGTGGTTCCTTTTCTGAGGTGCCATGGTTTCTCGTGTTTAGGTTAGGCAGTTTAACTCAGAGCTCTTGCTTTTAATCATTACTACATCAACACCCCTTTTCCCTCTTGATTTGCTTCCTTTTATGAACCTATTATTTAATAGGAAAATTCCTTTTTAATTAGCATTGTAAATGTGAGTCTTTGTATAATTACAAAAATCATTTCCAGTTAGCCAAACTGTCTGTAATTAAAGAGCTCTGTGCATGTTGGATTAGCACTCACCTGTGCTTATATGCCATTGGTTTTCTTCATATTTGGGCCTTATCTTTCATGATCATTAGATAGACATTTTTTCTCTTTTCATAAATTACAACTTAAAATTTCAAAATTGATGTCTAAAATGTATGACTTAAATGAAAATATATATTACAAAAGATCACAAGCTTTTTTTTTTCAATATAAATGTCAAGTTGACAAGGAAATAGTTGCTTATGCTTTTAATATAATTCATCAAGATATGTCGAATCTCAGGTTGGGGATTTTTAGAGTCTGTTGATCTGTTTATTTGTAGGAAGCTATTTCAGACTAGGGAATGCCTAGGAGAACCCAAACGTAGTACCGATTACTGTGCTGACTTAAGCCCAGAGGACTGGCATGCCCAAACACACATGTGGCTCTTGGCCTGGAACAGCTCTGTCTGAGATCTCCAAAGCTGAAGGATATGGTGTGGAGAGGATGCCTTCTTGATCTTGCTTTTGTGTTCAAGGTGCTGCTGCTGGCCTGTTGCTTCTCTCTTCTCTGAGCAGCTGTGGCAGTTCCTGAAACCATGCATGACTAAGTTTTAATCTGACATCCACAAAGGAGAGCAGCCCTGGCTACTCCTCAGTTCCCCTTTGGATCTACTTCTTATCATTCATTTTAGGGCTTGCATGTGTCCACGGGACCTTCTAAGCTCCATCTATCCCTCTTTCCCACCTTGCTGCCATCAACTGACAAATGAGTTTTGCTCCAGTTCCTGTTTGCCTTTTAAAACATGCCTCTTTGCTTGTTTCCCCTTGTTCTATATTTGCAGATGGTAGTTTTCAAACTGTCTTGAAGCAACTGCCACAGACTATAAGGGGCTTCAAGAACTGGTTTTCATTGAATAGTAAAGATTAGTAAACCCAGAGAGTGACTGTTTTTCCCAACTACTTCCATTGCCTCATATTCTATAAGAAAAACCTAGTTTTGATATGAATTCAGGTAATGTAGATTTTCTCAAATTTAAAAACGAGAGCCAGCAAGAGGGCTCAGTGTATAAAGGTGCTTGATTCCAAGCCGGAGAACCTGAATCAGAGTCCAGGTTCTCACATAGTGGAAGAGAGAACTGGCTCTCACAAGTTGTTCTCTGATCACATAGGACACGTACAAAATAAATACATGTAATAAAGAAAACTTTTAATGAGCTAATTTTAACATCGAAATGTAAATGGGTGCCGTGGCACCCACCTGTAATCCCAGCAGAATCAGCACTCAGGAGTGGGAGGCCAGAGAGTCAGGAGTTCAAGGTTATTCTCAGCCATATATCAAGTATGAAGTTAGACAAACAAACAAACAAAACAAACAAAAAAACCCAAAAAGGATTGTACCAATAATGGTGGTTTCTTTGCTGTTCACTGGAGAAGGGTGATTAATGAAATTGCAAAAAAGCAAATCACTGAGTTTTATTATTGGTGGACTTTTTACCAGGAACAAAGTTTAAGATCGTAATTTTCAATTGTACCCTAGACCTTCAGTGAAAACATGTCTTGAAAACTTGGCTATCATACTAGGAAGGAGACTTTACAGTGGCTCATTGTTTGTGCCATTAGATACCGAAGGGTTTTACTTAATTTATCAAATGGTTTTTAATTTTTGTTTTCTGTGACTCATAAATGGAAAATATACTAAAACTTGTTAATTCACTAATTCTTCTTTTCTGTTTCAAACAACCACTCATTACAAAGTTATTACCATGCTTCCTAAAAATTATTCTCATTTCTACAATTGCTTCTTTTAATTTAGAATATATTTTTGGCATATTAACATGCTACTATGCACAGACTACTAAATGCTCAGAGTTGTAACTATCATTTCTTAAATTTTTGTCCGAATTCCATTAAACACTGAGCTAGGTCAATATGTGGTATTAATTGCTATTTTCCTCTTTCTGTTAAAAACTACTAGAGTCTAAAAATATAGTAAAACTATAGATATTGAAGACTTAGAATAGCAGGAAGAATTTTAAGGACTAAAGTTTACCTCTTTAGGAAGAACATCTTTGAAGTTCTGGTTATACCCTCCCATACTGGAAACTTCTCATTTCTAAATTCAGAATTGGCTGACTGCTTAGGATCAAATATTACAGAGTGACATGTTTTAGAACTGCCATCTAGTACAGTGTTAGAGCTTGTCTTTGTGTTTCAGCGTGTGTTAGTCTTGGCGCTTTGATGCTGTCCTTTCTCACACTGGTGTTCCTTCCTGTCTTTTTTCCTCCTCTGCTTCTCGCCTTCTCTTTTTCTACCTTCCCTTCTTTCTGTCTCCCAGATCTGAAAGATTTTCAGAACAATAAACATAGGTACTTGCTAGCCTCTGAGAATCAACGCCCTGGCAATTTTTCCACAGCATCCATGGGGTCCCTTACTTCATCTCCATCTTCATGCTCACTTAGTAGTCAGGTGGGCTTCACATCTGTGACCAGTATTCAAGAGCGGATCATGTCGACACCTGGAGGGGAGGAGGCCATTGAACGTCTGAAGGTGAGTCTAAAGATTGAATGCAAAGTACTTTATGTCATTCCAGAAAGCAGAACTAGGACTGAATGAACATCACAGAAATTTTGGCTTAGCACATGGAGATGCTAACAGTTAGAGGTACCCTGAAAATGAAATTGTTTTTTAAGTTAATTTTTTTTAAAATCAGAATGTTTGAGTTTGACTCGGCCAGAGATGGAAAAGTCATAAGTTAGCCATGCAAAATAACTGATAAGTAGAGACTTAGAATAATTTGGGGGTAATTTATAAGTCATAGTAAAGATGCTTGTTATAAATTTAGTTTTAAAGCCAGACATGGTGCATGAGCCAGTTGACTCAGTGTTGAGGAGATGGAAAAAGGAAGATAAGGAGCTCAAGGTCATTCTGGCTACATAGTGAGTTTGAGGCCAGCCAAGGCAATATGAAACTCTTTCTAAAGTAGTAATAATTTCGTTTTAAATGAAAGAACTAGTTGGAAATTTTGGTTTCATTGAGATAGAATTCTCTATAGAGCCATTCCTCTGTTAGTAAAATTAATATACAGTTAACTGGAAGTTTGAACATTGGAGTAGTAATATCGGGTTTATTAGGTTGCATGAAATTATACCTTCTAGAAGTCCTCTCAAAGCCTTTAGTTATGGAAGAAGCAGGCTTTCTCCTGCAGTCTGGTTCACCTGGGCCATGGTATTGCACATTTGCAGATTACCTAATCTGTTGGTTACTTGTTGGAGCCAAATACCTGAGGAGAAGCAACTTACTTTATCTCATGGTTTGAGGTTAGTCTACAGAGAAGGCGTGGCAGTACTCAGCTACTTTCTCCTTTCCACTCTTTATTTCAGTCTGGGACCCCAGTTTGTAGAATAGTGCTGCCACATTCATGGTGGGATTTCTCTCTTAGTTCAGTTTCCCTGGCAGCACTCTCACAGACACAGTCAGACATGTATCTTATTTTAAATCCAGTTAAGTTGATGAACCATTACATTATCCCTGGCTCCCAGCTCTGTGGATGGAGGGTTCTTTTAGCTGGTTGCCAGCTGTACCTGCTTCTGTCTTGTCTGTGTGGATGTGAACGTCAGGAGCAGTGCTTGTCATACTCCCTTCAGTGACTACAATGAGAGCAGACAGGTGTCATCTCTGCTGCTGAGAACAGCTGCCAGCATTCTTGCCAGCCATCAGACTGCATCAGGAGCATCATGTTTTCTCTTTTTTGCTTACTACCTCCAGGGATATTGTTTCCCTCTACCTTTTGGACTTTGTGTTCAAGAGTACCAGGGCAGGGGAAACGCACTTAGAACCAATCAGGGATCCTCTTCACCATCATCAGTATCCCCCATTACAAATCGCTGCCCATCCAAAGACAACTGAGAACAGTGGTACTCTAATAGGTAAAGGTTAAGAAAGAAAGGGCTAGCGGTGTTGGTGCACACTTTTAATCCCAGCACTCGGGAGGCAGAGGTAGGTGGATCTCTGCGAGTTCGAGGCCAGCCTGGTCTACAGAGTGAATTCCAGGACAGCCAGGGCTACACAGAGAAACCCTGTCTCGAAAAAGGCAGACTAGCTTGTTGAACATCTTCACAACTGAAAATGAATCAATGTCAGATGCTTTCATTTTAGTTTTCAGGTGAAGCTGTAACAGATTTTATATGAAATGGGCTTCAGAGTTTTCTTTCTTATCATCCCATCCTTCCCCTTGGCATTTTCCTTACTTCAGAAAGAAGGTGATTCCAGAAATAAAACCAATGCTTTTGTGTTGATTCAGAAAGTAAGTGAAGTTCTAAAATGCCTAACAAAAGGAGAGGAAGGAGAAATTTTTCAGGGTTGCAATGTGCAGGGTGATCTCTGCTGTTGTAAAATTGACTTGGGAGCGTTCCTATAGACTTTATTGGTGTTCTGTGTGGGAAAGTGTTCATTCACAAATTTTCTCATAAGTAGGGGTCAGTGATCATATTGCCAGCAGGACTCTGGCAGTTGGGATAAGTCAAACTTCCCTCTTACTATTTTATATCAAATGTTCGCTTTGGGGATTTTGAATCTTAACTGTTATTATATTGTGCCTTACTGCACAAACAAGATTACCTTTTTTCTCCTCTGGTGTAAAGGAGAAATTTCTTTCTGGCTGCCAGCTAGAACCAGCTGAAAATAATGCCACTTGTTAAGTGTTAAGACAATAACTAGGTTTTTTAAGAATTAGGTCACCCAGTGTCTTCCAAATGGCTTCTAGGGAATAATGCTGTCATTATTCAAGGAACTCTCCCCTCAGCTGCCTAATCTCGTGAAAACAAAGCTGTAATACGTTAATCAGCAAATAAATTGCTCTCTTAATTTTCCCTGAAACAACATAAGTAAAATATTTCTTTCCCTTGCTTTATTCTAGAGTGCAAATGGCTCCTTTACAGCTTTGTGTTCAGTGTCGTGCAGGAGTTCACTGAGGCATAAGCGCCTTAGTTCTGCTCTTATTTTGTGAATGGTGAGAATTCCTTTTGGACAGACCTGCATTTTAATGATGCAGGCAGAGCACATCTTTCGTCCAGAGTGTGGGACAGCAGTTGTACAGTACAAACGCTGAGAATGTCTTAGGGGCTGCATTCCTAAGCCATGACACTGCAAGGGAAAATACTGCAGTGGAAACAGCGACAGTGGAGGCTAACTCATCTTCCTCACGGTTGATTTGCCTCTGCTTCTCTGTCTCTTTAACTATAGACCAGTGTTCGCCACTGCTTTACATAGGTGCTGCTACTTCTTTCTCCATTAAATAGCCTATTTCCATATGTAATGTTATTATCTCAGTTCCTCCATAAACCTCACTGGCAAGAAGAAAAAAAAGATAGTGATATGTAATTTTTCTTTAAAGCCACAATTTAAACTGCACTGAAATCTCTGTGTGAGTGATTTGGTCCTTTTACTCAGTAAAGTCTTAAGCATGCAGCTATAGCCACCGACTCTGATATTTATAGACTGGCATCAAAGTCAGTACTGTGAGTGCCATTGCCCAGACTTAGCCTATAAATATTCATACCATCCATCACAAGAGCAGGCAGGGAAAATGCTGTGCTGAGCAGTCTGAGGACCCGCACTTGGAGCTCATTCAGAAAGCATGCTGTCCAGTACAGTCAACCCTTAGCTATCTGACGGCCTCAAGGAATGTTCCATGGAGTAATCATTCAACCTTCTAAATGTTAAAACCTAAACTATCATCTTTATGTGAGGGGGGGGAATATGTCTGATTTGCCCTATCAAATTTTCTGCCTTCTTATTGAATCATCAAAAGGAAATAAAAAGCTGGGCATGGTGACACATACCTGTAGTCTCAGCACTTGGAAAGCTGAACTAGGAGGACTAGGAATTCAGCATTATCCTTGGCTAAATCATGAGTTTGAAGCCAGGGATGGCTATATGAAACCCTGTGTCAGGTCTCATGTCTCACAAAAAGTGAATGAATGAATGAATGAATGAATGAATGAATGAATGAATGAATGTAAAGAAAGTCAGGACACCCAGCTCAAGGAGTAGGATGGGCTTAGGTTAATTACATAGTTGTTTTTTTCAATCTGTGAAGTGATTGTGTAATAAATGGTTACTTAGTCTTTGCTAACATTAAAGGTTTGCTAGTGTGCTGCTCAATTGACATTTTCTTTAGGCTGTCCTTGGAGCTTTTTTAAGACAATGAATTTTTAAACATTATAAATATTATAACTTGAAGCCATGATTAAAAAAAGAAGAAAGTGCCTTGCATTTTTGGATGTTAATATTACTCTTCCTGTCTTGTGCACACACACATGGATTCACCATTTGCCTATTCTATTAGGATTTGGAAGATCTTTGTGTCTGAGGTTTACTTCATATTTATGATTCCTACCTTATAAAAAAGAAAAAGAGCCATCACTTTGGAGTCTTCCTTTGTTTTCAAACGGTATTACGTGTCTTATGCTTCACTTGCTGAATATGGTATGTTAAGACTCTTCCACTTTAATCTGTGCATCCTTCCATAGGAATCAGAGAAGATCATTGCTGAGTTGAACGAAACCTGGGAAGAGAAACTTCGTAAAACAGAGGCCATCAGAATGGAAAGGTTGGGAGATAAAAATCTGGGACACTACTAAGTTTTCTGGGGAGCCCAAGTTACTTTTGTAATAAGAAAAGATGAAATAGAATGCAAAATAAAGAACTCTCTCCCCACCTAAAACACAACACAAATAAATATACAGGGGAAATTGTATCCAATAACATTTAAACTTTGAAGTGAAAGCTACACATTTAGAGAGTCTCTAAGGCAGTGCTTCTCAACCTGTGGGTCATGACCCCATTGGGAGTAAAATGACCCTTTAACAGGGATCACATATCAGATATTTACATTATGATTCATAACAGTAGCAAATTTACAGTTATAAAGTAGCAACAAAAATAATTTTATGTTTGGGGGGGGGTCACCACAACATGAGGAACTATTAGAATGCAGCATTAGGAAGGTTGAGAACCAGTGTTCTAGGGAGTCATGTGCTTAATAGTTTCCACACTTGAATGTTGCTTTCGAATGAGAAAAATTGTACCAAATAAAGGAGATTTTTCATTTGTAAAAAGTAAACTTTGCTTGGCAGGGGCCCATATGCAAAGAGCTGTTCTAACTCTGTCTCTTCAAGTTACTCCGTCTAGAACCTTTTGGGTAAAAGGTATAGTTTAGGTTGCAAACTTGTAAAATTCTTGTTCTGTCTATACTGTTGGAATAAACGCACACTTTTTTCTTTTAAAGTCAGTTCCTATCTTCCATCTTTATAAAAATGAGGGCAAAATGAATGAGCTTTGATGTACTATCAGTAAACGTAACAAAGAATTTTCTTACTTATATTAGATTTTTTTAAACTAGAATTATCTGGGCAGGCAAGATGTCTCAGCTTTCTACTCAAGCCTGCTTACCTGAATTTGATCCCTGAGCCCCACTTAAAAGTGGAAAAAGAGAATCAAGTCCACGAAGTTCCCCACAACATTAGGCACACACATGTACACACACATACCAGACAAAAAAACAAACAAAAATAAAAAGAAAACCAAAAACCTTCCTAGAATTACTCTACCAAAATGGGGAGGAAGGGGGATGGGAACATAACATTTGAGAAAAATCACATTTACAGACGGTATTTCGTATACCTAAGCCCCTACCTTTCCACTCACTCCTGTATTAAATCTGTGCTGCACTGTGTTAAAACCAGAGTGCCAACCTATAAGTTACTTTGATTGCTTTCTTAGATTCTGGGGAAATTGTTTTTGTGAAGTTGGATGCAACTCAAGGAATATAACCTTGCAAAATTCTTACCTGGATGAACAGAACTTTAGCATGGGGATATTCTTTCACTTAATTTGAACATTGTTTCTCTTAAAAATAAGTTCTCATTAGTGATGAACATATCATTCTGTGTCTCCCTTGCCAACTGTTTTGCTTTGTCCATCTGGTTTCCTAGTTCTTTGGAAACTAACTGAATTGACGTTTTGATATTGGTATTCTGATTTACTCGGGGGTTTGTTTTGGTTTGTTTTTTCTTTTTTCTAGAGAAGCTTTGTTGGCTGAGATGGGAGTTGCCATACGGGAGGATGGAGGAACACTTGGTGTTTTCTCACCTAAAAAGGTAGGAAGCCATGTTATAAAACTCAAGCAAACAAAACATTTTCTTTATAAACCTCTTCATGTCTTTCTGATAGAGCTGTTTTTATCTAGATCCTTAGCTTAACTTCAGATATTTCTGCTTTCATCTTACAGTACAAGGGCAACCTAGTTGTAAAATGAATAGTGTTTACAAAAGATAAACCCGGGCAATGAGTCTATTTCAGCATCTTTCTGCTGCTCCTCTTACCTGCCTGACCTCGCTGGAGCACCAGTTGCTTTAGTTATGTTCCTTTTTGTGTCAGGTGCTTGCCCAGCTTGCAGTTAGCCCTGGGCTTGATCTCTCTTTAGTACCATACATCTTGGGAAGGGTGCCACATGCCTATAATCCTAGTGTTTAAGAGGTGGGGGCAGTAGTCATCAGCTCTGCTCTGCAGCGTCTGGGAACCATTTCCAGCTGTTGAGGTTGGTGAGCAACAGTACTGCCCCATGATTTCTATTACAACTACTTCTGTTAGTAAGCAGTTTCAGTCCTTACCTTTAGATGCCTCTGCTCCCTTTTCAGCACGCTTTTTTTTTAAAAAAGAAGTGATTAGATTAGCCACTTTCCTACTAGTGTAACCATAGTTGTAGAATAGTTAGGGACCTTTCAGTTAATTGGACTGATAGCATGTCTTGTGTGTTCCTTTTGACTTGAGTTGCTTCTTAGTATTGGATACTAGAATACCTTATTAAATAATTGTTTTGTGTGCTTTTTTATATGACAACTGTAAAGTATGCATTAATAATGTACCAAGCATATGTGTCACCACTGATAACTTTCTTCAAGGTTCTGAGTATATCTCTGTGATACCCTACCATGTATATGGCCTACTACTGTATTATTAACAAGTATCTATGTGCATAGTTTGTGTTCTGGGTTAAAATACGAGATCAAGGAGTTTTGAGTTGGCATTTTTACTTGATGTGAACCAGTGTTTTTATTATTTTTTGTGAGGATTCTTTTGCTTACTTTTTTTTTATCATAGTCACAAAACTGTCTTACAAATTCCAATATGTTATTTTCAACAGAAAACATTGATTTAGCTAGGTATAATGGCACACACCTACAATCACAGCACTTAGGAGGGGAATGCAGGAAGATCAGAGTCCAGCATCTGCTTTATAATAAATTCAGAACCAACCTAAATCATACACAAGAAGAAAAGGGCTGGAGAGAAGGCTCAGCAGTTAAGAGCACTTGCCATTTTTCCAGAGGACCCTACTTTGGTTTCTGGCACCCAAGTTGGGAGGCTAAAAACTGCCTGTAACTCCAGCTCTAAGGAATCCAAAGCCCTGTTCTGACCTTATGGGTACCTCTCCCCTCCCCCGCACACAAACAAATGAAAATCAATCTTTTGTAAAAAGAAGAAATTAAGCCAGGCATGGTGGTGCACACCTTTAGTCCCATCACTTGCTAGCACATGGAAGGCAGAGGCAGGAGGATCTCTGTGAGTTGAAGGCCAACCTAGTCTACAGAGTGAGTTCCAAGACAGCAAGATCAGACAGAGAAACCCTGTCTTGAAAAAGCCAAAAAAAAAAAAAAGTTGATTTAAAGATTTAGAGATATATAGAACATCAACAATTACATGTTTATGTGAAGTTGAGTCATCTTTACCTTAATGATGTATTTATTCATACATATTACCTACATTGAAGAGATTTTAGCAGTTACAGTTTTGATAGAGTTTAGATTATGCTTTTGCATACCTCTAAAAGTTTTTCTTTTTTTTGAGAGGGTCTCATATATCCCAGGTGGATTAACACTCACTATGTAGCAGATGATAACCTTGAACTTCTGATCCCCCTGACTCCAACTCTTAAACAATGGGACTGTAGGTGTGTGGCACCCTTCCCCCACATATATGGTAGTAGAGATCAAACCCAGGGCTGATTGCCTGCAAAGCAAGCCCTGTACCAACTGTGCTACAGCCATAACCCTTAAGTTTGCATGAGGTTGTGTGTGTGTATTAAGAATTGTAACTCACTAATAGAACATTTTTCTACTACATATAGATTTGGGTTCTATCTTTAGCACCGGGAAAAAGCAAGCAAGCAAATAAACAAACAAACAATAAAACTTACAAAAGTGATTTGGTATTTAACCAGGTGTGGTGGCACATACCCTTAATCACAGCACTTCGGAGGCAGAGTCAGGTGGATCTCTGAGTTCAAGACTATCCTAGTCTACATAGTGAGTTTCAGGACAGCCAGGGACATACAAAGAAAGTATCAGATAACATAAAATAAGTAAAAATGTGATATTTATAAGAATTTAAAATAACCCAAACAATTGTAATATAAGCAGCATAAAATTACAGGCTGAACTCTCTACTTTCAAAGATTTTTTTCTTGCTTTAAATTTCTAGACTTTCTCAGGAAAGGGAAAGAAACACTGTAGACCACATATAGACTGTTGCTCAAACTCCCTTTTCTTTTCTTTTTTTTTTT